CAGGACCAGCTAAAACTTGATTTTAAAGAGATTTTACTGGGGCCATCAATCTCCATGTGGTCCCATTCCCCTTCTCTAGCCTGTTGTGTCACCACTAGGTCACTGGCTCATGAATACCCCAAGCACTGGATGAATGAATGGACAGATGGATGAGTATATAAATGGATAGACAGATGGACAGATGACAGCTGGATGCTTGGATGGGTGAATGTATTAATGGACTGATGGGTGGACGAATGGAAGGACAAATGGATGGACAGATGCCACCACAGTTTGCTGTTATTAGTCACGTGAATTTCATCAGACTCTTCCTTGAGGGTAGGTATGGTGAGCAGTGACAGAAGACCAGGAGAGAGGATCAGATGACCACAGGACTGTCACCAGCAGGGATTCTCTCAGAAATGGTGGTAGGTGAGCCCAGAGAAAATCTTGTCCCAGGAACATGACTCTGGTGGTGGCTTCAGGAAAAGTGACACAGATAACTTCAGATTCCCAGTGAATGAAAAAAACCAAAGGATCCGACACCACACAGCATCGAGGAAGGTGCCCACCTTCTGGGGCCTCAGTTTCTCCATCCATCAAGTGGGGGTTGTAACAGCCACCTACCCTATGTAGCTTGTAACAGTCACCTAGACACAAGGCACAGCCAAGTGTGAGGATGGTTGGCATAGCCCCAGGATGGCTGCACAGCTTTGTGTGGCTACTCGAGCACCCTGAGCCTTGAAGAGCACAGCACTTACCTCCAGAGCTGTGGGCAGAGTTGATGACAGTGTGATGGGAAGTTCCAGCTCCTTCCAGGGCCCCGGAGGCGGTCAGCTGTCAGTGAGCATCAGCTCTCATTAGCAGTGCCGGGAACGGGGACTGACATGCAGTAGGCATCAATAAATGTTTCTGGAATGAATTAATCAAAAAAATAGTCACAGGCCTAGGAGGAAGCTGAGGTCCAGAGACACCAAGGAGCTTGTCTTTCTGGTAGGACCTAGGGGCCAGCGTCCCACAGTCCTCCTGCTCAGGGTGAGATCTGATGTGCCACATTTAACTTAGACTGGGTCAAAAACTGAGATTTCCAAGTTCAGGGCTGAGGGCATTGTACCTCAGCTTCCCTTGAATTCTTCTAAAAATATTCTTCCTTTTAAAACCCCTGAGGCCTCTCTCAAGGTAAAGCAGTGATTTCCTGCAGATGGCCCCAGGCTGGAAGGACTCCCAGAATAGCTGTCGCCTGCCCTGTCTCTTCAGGGCCCATGGGCTCCCCACCAGCTGGTCTTAACCAGAAACCCTCCCCGCCTGTACCTCTGCCCTCTGGCTGGGGAGGGATTTATGGCTCCCAAGCCACCACTGTCTAGCCAGTCTCAGACCCCATCTCTCCCTCCTGCATGGGCTCCCAGAAGGCCATTTAGACTATGTCCACATTAATAGCTTCTCAGCTTCACTGGCCCATTCTCTGATTTACCATAAAACTGCCTTAAATTTAACCCCAGGGACAGCTGGAGAAGAGGAGGTCATGGGAAAGTATATGGGAGCCGGAGCCCACATCTACCTCCCTACCTCCCTAAGACCCGGCTCTCCAGATACCCTCTGTCCACCCTCCGTCCACCCTCCAATCCCAACCTGCTGCTGGGGCCTCGGACTGTACACTGTCCCTGCTGGCTCCTCTGCTCCTCCAGGGCTCAGCTGGAATGTCACTCCAGAGGGAGACCGCCCCGACACCCAGTGAATCACAACCCCTAGGATCCCCCGCTCACATCACCTGCTGTGTCATCATCCCTGGTCATCTTCCTGCTTGGCCCGTTCTCATCAGTTTGATGTTTTGTTGCATCTGAATGTCAGGTTGGGGGGGGCAGGTCTCTTCTCTTGCTCACTGCTGCTGCCCTTGCACCTCAAGCCTGGCCTGGCACACAGCACGTGCTCAGTTACCATTCAGCGGGTAAATGGACTGCGTTAGTCACTAAGAATTAATGTGCTAAGAATGGGCTGTCAACCTAAAGTAATCAAAAGGGTCTGAATCTAGTGTAGAGTTCAGGCCTCCCGGGAAGCAGAGATTTCAAAGTGGGGAAGTCAGTGTTTTAAAGTGTAGAAGTGTGAAATTGCTTATATAGGCAAAGCTTAGGGAAGTTTAACAGAACTTTAACAACTTTCTATGTGAGGCTTAATGCATAGTTATAATGACCTGATTAACTGAATAATATTTTTTTGAGGGAGGAAGGTGTATTTAACATTCAACACTGAAGATGTTACTGTCATAGGGTCTTAAGTGCCATCTGACCTGAGTTAGGCACAGGACAATAAGAGAGGTGCTTAATCTACATTGAACTTCAGTGACTGGAAGGGAACCCTGGTCCCTGGTCTCTCCTGGACAAGAACTAGAATCTAAGAAGCAGAATTGCAAACATGCTAAATTGTGACTCAGTCTTCAGGGCTTAATTTCCCACTTGGCATACTGAATTTCAAGGGTCCTGAACTTTTATTTTCTTTTATAGGTCTCACTCCAATTACAATATTTTAACAAGGCAATGATAATAATCCTAATAACCAATGCCCTCAGCGTGCCAAGTCTGTGCCCGGCACCGTTCCAAGTGCTGTAATCGTATTATCTCATCTAATCTTCCCACGATGTGATACTGTTAGGTATTATGTCAATTTCACACTGAACTTCAGAGTTTGTGCTCTGAATTCCTGCAGAAGGAGCCAGTCAGTGCTTTTTTGATTTGTGAGTCACCCCAGAAGTCCTCGACACAGCCTCCTGGAGCAGGAGTAGTCATGAGAAGGTCCCTCCTGCAGGTGCCTGAGCCTAGACAGTCCCCTTGGTGTCACCTCTGGCTCCCAGGATGCCTGTCACTGCCTGAAGACTGAGGCAGCTTTAGAGAACCTTCTGCTGCTAAAGGGATATGGGCCTGGCATTGAGCTGAGTGCTTTAGATATGTTAATTCATTCCATCCCCCAAACTCTATGGAGTGGGTATGATTATTGCCCATTTCCTTAGGGGGAAACTGAGGCACGGAGTAGCTGAATATTTTGTTCAAGATCACACAGCAAAGCGGTGGAGCTGGACAGTCTGGCTTCCAAATCTGTGCACTTGGCACTACCCCAGACTGGCCGTTGCTGTGATTGCCCCTCACCGGGTGAGAAGGGAGGCAGGGCCTGGGGCCGGGCTGGAGAGGGTGACCGTTCACCTTGAGGAGCATCAGTGTGTCAGATACGACTTGTTTGGTTGTAAGTCATAGGAAGCCAACCCCAGCTGCCGTCAGCTGAAAGGATAAGCCGGAAGTTGCTTTTCTTCAGGCATGGCGGGCTCTAGACCCCAAATGATGATATTAGCCCTGAGTCTCATTCTGATTCAGTTCTGATTGATTCGTGTTGGCTGAATTCTCGGGCTCCATGGGCTGGCAAGATGGGTGCCCATTAGTCCACACCCATTATTAGTCTCAGCCTTAAACCCCAAAGAGAGACTTTTTTCCTAATCTCTCTAGTGAAAAGCTTGGAATTACCTCTTGTCAAATCTGAATGGCCAGCCTGAGTCAGGTGCCTAAGGGAATGCAGCAGTTCTCTGATTGGCTAATTCTAGGCCTTAATTATGTCAATATCAGAGCCAGATGTGGGGCTAGCTCCACCTGAGGCAGCTAGTTGGGGGTGGTTCCTAGAACATGCCACGATCAGGAGAGGGGGGAGTGGAAGTCAGGGGTAGGAGACACCAAGGCCTCACTGCAGGTGCTATGACCAACACATTTTTCATACTTGTGAAGGTTGAGTGTATGAATTGGGTCATTCTCGTCACAACCAATTAAAACAGAGTCAAGAAAAGGAGGGGAGCCCCTGGGGCACATAACATTGCTCCAAAATGTAATTCTCTGCAGGCCTGACCCCTGAAACAGCTTGCTATAACCCCCAAACAGTTTTTGAGATAACTTGCTGCAACTTCTGGGCTAATTTTGTCCACCACTGCTGCCCACCAGTCAGAGCTGACAGCAGCCCAAAGCTTTACTAACACAGTGAGCTTTCTCTCAAGCCCATGTATAACATTCATTTGTTGATAAAATTCCCAGTCTCCTCTTTGTCCTTCATAGGTATTAAAGATCACCCAAGGTAGGGCCCAAATTGCATTTCTATCTTCCCAAATACAACATTAAATTCAAAGATTCATCTCGAGAGTTTTATTTCAACTTTAACACACGTAGGACACAGGAATGGCCCCTGTCCTTTGTGTGTAGGTAGGGTGGATGCTTTTGGTTTGTCTTTTATGATTTTTATAGAGTTATGAAGACATATACTTTTCTGAGCTCTCCACAGCTGTCTCTATAATGAACTACAAAGTAGGGCACTCCTGGTCCTTTTGGGAGGCGTGTGACTAATGGGGAAATTTCAGGTACTGTGACAGAATTCTGCAGGAATACTGTGACACCATCAGGCTAGGGAAGAAGTGGATTTGGGTCCTGCTAGCAAACAAGAATGAGTATTTAGCACTGAACTCTCAAGCTGTATCAGACACTATTCTAGGCTGTACCTGCAGCCTCTTGTGTAAACTTTCCAACAACTCTCTGAGGCATTATCCCCATTTCATTGGACAAGCAAACCCAGGTACAGTAACTTGGATTCCTGGGACCACATGCTGGCTAGGGCTTACGGGCAGCATGACAATCATCCCCACCTACAACCCTTCCTACTGGCTGACAACAGTTCTGTGTGGACAGTCCTGAGCCCAGCACAGGAGAATCACAGAGGGTCTAAGCTAATCATGGGATCCTGCCCTCTTCCTGTAATTGGTGAGTATTGTTCACTTCTGACCAATGAGATACAAGGGTTGTGTTTAGGGTATTTGGGGCAAATCTTTTCTCTCTGGAAAGGGAGGGCTCCTGAGAGCATATTTCTCCCTGGCCCCATTCCCACCTGCTCTGGACATGGTCCTCTGAAGACTACTCCCCACTTCTGCTGTGCTGCCCGCCCCCCCCCCACCCCAAAGCATAATCCAGGTTACTGTCATTGTTTGCTTAGAATATTCTGGTCTTGTGCTCACTTTGGCAGCATATATACGAAAATTGGAACGATACAGAGATTAGCATGGCCCCTGTGCAAGGATGACACGCAAATTCATGAAGCTTTCCCTATTTTTTCAACCCTACTGTGAAACTAATAGTTAGCTATCATAGGAAAGCTATAACCCAATTTTAGCCCAAGAATACGGGGAAAGGAGAGAAGGAGGGGAAGGAGGGGGAGAGGATGGGTGAAGGAAGGGAGATTGTTGGGATCACGCCTATGATCTATCTTATAAGGGTACATGTGAATCTTTCTAAATGTGGAATATAAATGTCTTAACACAACAACTATGAGAATGACATGAAGGCTATGTTAGCCAATTGGATGAGAATATTTCAAATTGTATATGGAAACAACACACTGTACCCCATGATAGCATTAATGTGCACAACTATGATTTAATAAAAAAAAAAAAAAAGGAATATTCTGGTCTTCTCACTGGTCTCCCTGCTCCTACCCTCACCTCTGTCATGCACCCAGAGGGATTCTAGTCAGACCACATTCCTCCTCTGCTTAGAACCCTCTCATCTCAGCTGAGTCAGAGCCCAACACCCCACCATCCCCCATAGGATCCTACATGACCCCGGCCCCTCCGTGCATCTCTCCTCTTCACTCACTGTCCCAGTCACTCTGGCCTCCTCGCTGGTCCTTGAATTCACCAGGAGTCTCTGTCTCAGGGCCTTTGCATGAGCTGCTCTCTGAGCTGGAAATATTCTTCCCCTGGAATCCCCATGGTTCTCCTTTCCTGTCTCTGTTCACATGTGGCCATCTGAGCGAGGGCTTCCCTGCCAGCCTCATCTGAGATGCAGCCTCACGTGCCCTGCACCCTACCTCTTCCCAGTTCAACTTCTGTAATACAATACATGACATACCCAGCTCTTCGCTTTACTGTTCTTCTTGCCCAACCAGAGTGACAGCTCCGCGAAGATTTCTCTCCCTCATGGCTCCCCCCAGGGCCTGGGGTGCTGTTGCACACATGGCGGTCCCAAAATAAATAGTGGCTGAATAAGGGAATGAATGGATGTGTGGGCTGTGACAATGTGTGACCATGAGGGAGGCCTTGGAGGCCACATGGGGCCAGCAGAGCCACAGCAGCTGGGAAAGTAGCCTTGATGAGTCTGCGCAGCCCCTGCCCACTCCTGGCCCTTCCATGTGCAGAACTCCCCTTCAGGTGGGAGGAAGACCCCCCAGTTGTCGGTGTCTTCATTGGCATCTCTCGTTGCAGCTGAAATCCTCTCATGGGGACAGCAGCTGGGATTTAGGCTGAGGACATCTGGCTCTGGACCCTGTGCCCAGGGGTCTGTCTGGGGTGTGATCCAGGGGCAGGTCCTTGGGTATATGGGGTGGGGTGGCTTGTCCCCTGGCTCCTCTTCCCAGGTCACCATGGCAGCACTGGGCCACTCTGCCTTCCCACCCAGCAGTCCAGACGGATCACAGTAGAAGGGCTCAGTCCCCAAGTCCATCCACTCCCTGGGCAGGTCCCCAGCCAGCCTCTGCCCAGGATGTGGAGAGGGTGTTGCCATGTCCTGCTTCCTGCCTTCCCTTCCAGCACTTTCCAGGCCTGGTTCCCAGTGCAGGGCCATGTGAGTGTCCCCAGTGTGTGGCCTGGCCCTGCTAACCTGGCTTTAGAGTCTAGATTCTGCCTTCTATGTTCCCTTTTCTCCAGTCAGAGCTAGCCCAGGCTCTGTTACCCTCCTGGTGGCCCTACTTCCTGCTGAGGGATACCAGAATCATCACTGTCATGGGGGCCGGGGAGGTAACCGGGAGACACCACCAGAAACCCATCTGTGCTTCCACAGAGCCCTCCTAGAGCTGTGGGTGACGAGTGGGGGCTTTTCAGACACCACAGTGGGGCCAGGACAAGCAGTTCCAGGGACAGGAACGTGGCAGGGGAACAAGTTGGAGGAGGGCCAGCCCTGCGGGGGCCACACAGACTTGCCGCTCTCTTTCCTGGCTTTTGGCCCAAACAGCTCTTTGGAAAAAAGCACAGGAATTGCCCTGGCAGGTGGGACCTGTTTCGTCCAGTGTGTGGCTGACACTGGAGGACCTAGGCGGTCCAGGCTGCTAGGAACAGTCCATCAGGGGAGGAGGCTTGGGTGTGGGGGCAGGGCTGCCCTCTGTCCCTCATACCACCTGCTGGCAGGAGGTTGGCAGGGTATCCTGGGGTGCTGAGGCCTGGAGGGGCTGTGAGGGGCTGCCACTTCTGGGTCCTGGCAGGGACTGAGTCGGACCTGTGCCCTGTTTGCTGAGACTCAGCTATAAAAAGGGACCGGGAACACCCTGATGCTATCACCCACGCAACCTCCTCTGTTCCATCTGGGTCTCTCCCGATGGCAGAGGCTCAGAATGTCTCATCCTGTGCAGTGATGAAGGCTCAGAAGTTAGAAGTGAGAATGTCTGACCTGCCTGGTGGTGGAAGTGAGACTGTCTGAGCCAGAAAGGGAATCACGGGGAATCTGGCCCCTCCTCCCGAGTAGCCTGGGTGGACCCCAGTGCCCAGCTGGGACAGAAGAGACAATATGATGTGTGGAATTAACATTGTTCTCATCACCTCATTAACCCCCCAGCAGCTCTGTAGGGGTCACTGTTGTCACTCTGCACTGTGGGGGTGAAGGGGATCCCCCAGCATCATGACATTGAGGACATTAGAGCAGGACTGAGCCCAGACATCCTGTCCCAGGTCCTCACCCCCAAGCCTTGGGCCTCCGGACCGCTGAGAACAGGAGCCACTGAAGAAAGGCCCAGGATGCTTCTCTCCTGAGAGCTGTGGGCTGGCCAAAGTGTTTAAAGGAACAAATGAACCCTTTCTGGGGGGTGCTGTTCAGAAAATCAGTAGCACAGTGATTTTTTTTTTTTCTTTTTGAGACAGAGTCTCACTATGTCACCCTCAGTAGAGTCTGTGCCTTCACAGCTCACAGCAGCCTCAAACTCTGGGGCTCAAGCAATTCTCTTGCCTCAGCCTCCTGAGTAGCTGGGACTATAGGCACCCGCCACAACGCCCACCTGTTTTTTAGAAACAGAGTCTTGCTCTTGCTCAGCCTGGCCTTGAACTCCTGAGCTCAAGCAATCCACATGCCTCAGCCTCCCAAGTGCTGGGATTACAGGTGTGAGCCATTGCACCTGGCCACAGTGATTTTCCAAAAATGTGTTAATCCCAGGTGCACACAGGCACGAGGACCGGGGTGGAGGGACATGGAAAGATGTACAATTGGACCTTGTGAGCTTTGTGGCCAGAATTCCTGGGTTTGGACTCCTAAGCATGTCACTGGACTTCCCTGTGCCTCAGTTTCCCTGTCTGTAGCATGGCGTGTAGCAGCATGTTCCTCCTTGATTGGAGGGTACTGGCAGGCAAAACTGATCAGCGCCAGGCCCCAGCGACCGCCCAGGGAGGGTCACCGGCTGTGCGTAGCCTGAGGTTTCTCACTTGGAGGTGACTCCAAAAGTCTAGAGTCCAGGCCCTTTGCGGAAGCCAAGCCCTGCCGGGTGAGCCTCAGGCCCCGGGGACCAGTTGCATCCACTGATTTTACAGAGAGGTGTCCTCATCTGCGTCTTCCGCCCCCATACTCCAGGGCAATGCTGGTGAGGAGGCTGCTCCCAGAGTCACCAGGAATTTCACTTGAGGAGCTGATCAGGCAGAATCTATGGGCTTTACTCAGAAGAGGGACCATGGACATGGAGATGGAAGGACAATGGTGTCTGCTGGACGTGCAGAGGGGGAGGGGTTCTGCCGGCCACACGGAGCCTCTGCCCAGGGCCATCACCACCGCTCCACCCACAGGAACTGCAGGATTTGTCTGTACCAGGTCCTGAAGTGGCACCCCCTGGGCAGGGCCCTCGGGGTGGATGTGGCAGAGGGGACAGAACATACAGCCCCTGGGCATCTGCTCCCCACACACCGGCCCCAGCCCGCAGTGTCCCACCAACACCGCATGGTGACTTCAGCGCGAACCCCAAACGAGGGGTCAGAAGCACTTTGGTTCCAACTCTGCCACTTGCTGTGTGGTCTAAGACGTGGCCACTCTGAAGGGAGGTTTTCTTATCTGTAAAATGAGAATGATTAAATGTACCTCCCTGCCAGGGTTACTGTGAGGCTTGAAAATCAATTTGTTAAAGTGCTCAGCAAGTGCCTGCCCCACTTTAAATGCTCAGTGAATGCTATTGTTATTTCCTCCTTTGTTAGATGGAGAATAAACTTATTTGTCATAGGTATTATGTGAATTACGGGAAACAGCAGGAGTCTGGAAGGTGTGGGGCGCACCAGCAAAGGTCCCTGTCCTTCTATTGGGGACTCGGGTGGTTTGAACACTTGGATGTGCCAGTCCGGGCAGGCTGGGTCATGCTGCAGTAGTGGTCTCTGGACCCCATGGGATCCTGACCAAAAGGTTAGGGTTAGGGTTAGAGGGTCAGCTGGGAGCTCTGCTCAGTGCCCCCCACTTTTCACTGTGGCCTTGGTCGAAAGAGAAAGAGCTTGGTGGTGGTGGTGGTGCTGGTGAGGAGATGCCCATTGGGTGCCCCAGCCTGTGGGTGTCAAGGCCCGGTGCTCATAGCTCTTTGGTTAGAATTAGTTGCGTGTCCCCACCTGGCTGTGTGCCCAGAAGGTGAGAGCTCAAAGTATCTCAGAACACCATGATGACCTCCAGAGCTCCCTGGAACCCAGAGCTTGGTAATGGCCTCCGAGAACGTAACCAGTGGACAGGTGACATGCTTCTGTCCACCAACACACGTGGCGAGAAGGAGGCTGTGTGGGCTCCACTCTGTACTCACTCATGACCCAGGTTAAGTCCGAAATACCTCAGTGGGGAACAGCGTGCCTGGCGCTCCTTCCCTCTCAGCTCTCCTCTCCCAGATAAAGCCTTAGTACCCCAGTGCTAACCTCTGTGGGAGAGGGAGGGATCCAGGGCGTCTGACTCTGCAAGAATCCTGCTTCATCTACAATCCAAGTCCCAGAGAGAAATGTTTGGGGCAGGAAGGGCCCTGGGCTTAATTACAGACATGAATACATGATAGTCCCACTCATGGATGGATGTGTGTGTTTCTGTACATTTGTGTCTGTGTGTATCTGTGTGTGTTTGTGCA